GGTTTCTCAGCCCAGTCCAGGAGGTCCAGATCAAATTTTGTTAGAATTTAGAAAAAGTCTAAAACCATGTCTAAATCTTAAGTTGCGCCCATATCTCGGCATGAATTCAAATTGGAACATTGACCTGAATAAATTCAAATTGTGGGGAAATTGTGATCCAGATACAAATCCTGCCTGTTTCTTATTATAGATACTACATGGCTCTGGGACCTGGGAAACTGCTAAATGGCAGGATGGAGGCTGGCATGTTTGGTTAACATTTCACAATAAGCACTGTAAGCTTTCCTCTTTAAGCATACAGCTCTCACATGGAAAGAAGAGTGTGTGGGTGGAATATATTTGAGAGACAAAAATATTCTCTCCTACATGCCAAATTATCACCTGCTTGTAATTTACTCTTGTGGATTTCAGCCAAAAAACTCAAATCCCATTCACCTCAAAGGGACACCTGCTAGAGAGATGTCCGTTTTCCACAAAATAAGCAGCATTGGTATTTTCCATTGATGAGACTAGGCTGAGATGTGACTTGTATACAGATATGAGGGAAAACAGAAATTCAAATCAGCCTGCATAGCGTGAGGGACATCACCATTAAATCTGTCTACAAGAACTGATTACATGTGCAGTGGGAAGGGCAGGCACATGCATGTGCTCGCGCAGAGCCTTTTTTACAACCAGTTTGTGAGCACTCATCAGTGCTGAGGATGAGACCTGCCTTTACAGTGACCTACTCAACCCAGCGTGATCCAGCTCACAGAGTATGCCTTGACTACATTAGGATAATTCCAAATTACCTTTTGCAACTGTTTCTTGAGCGTGTTTGATTCCAACAGCATGAGTCGATATAGTCTAACATGGTTATGTACTTCAATTGCATTGGAAGGAAAAAATATTATGGTCCAGATCAGAAATGGTATTAAGGAGGCTAACTGCTACTGATAGCAAAGGAGATGAGGACCTCAGGAAGAATTAGGTATCTACATAAATATTCAGATCTGCATTTATGTGGTGATATACTTCAGGCAGCTAGCTTCATATATTAATCTTCAAGGCTATATTTAAGTTTTAAAGAATTGTGTTGATTTACATTTGTGTCTCCACTATTTTATTGCCTAGGGAGCTGTTTCTGAAACTAGGATTACTTGTATTTAGTATTGATATAATGTGTGTTTGTAAGGGTGAATATGCCATTCACTTTAGAAATGAGTTAAAAAAGCAAGTCTTTTCTATAAAAAGCTTAGAAATAACAAGTTAGCTCCACTTCACTGCCCTAACTTTGGTGGAGGCAGACTGGACCTTAGATTAGACATAGCATAGCTCAGAATAAGCAGATGTATAGGAAGGACTGAAGCAGTTGCCAGTTACCTTTTAAATTCCTATCTGCTTAGTAGTAGACTTTTTGTTCTAGGTTAATATACAACATCACAAAAAGCCTCATCTTTGACTCTTATTTATTTTTAGTGGATGACGGGAAAAGTGAGACTTTCAGACATCATGCTACCTGACAACATAAATAAGCCCCTGAGAAAACCAAAGCTGGCAAACAAGTACACAGCCCGAGTACAGCACAAACACAAATTCTTCAGAGAAATGCAGGTTTCTGGAGGACAAAATTTTTAACACCCTGAACTCACAGACATTCTTTCAATTTCATTTATCTTGGGTTACAGAGAAATTTTTTTTTAAGAAAATCTCTGGCATAGCCCATTAAAGGCCTTGGAAGAAGCAGACTTGCAGAAGTACTAGAAACATCATAAAGCCAGACTGCAAAAGCTCAGATGCCTTATCATTTCACAACAACAACCGAAATGGGATTTCATGGATATAAATCACTGCTTTTTATTTACTATTATTTCTAATAACGTATTTATTAGAAATAATGTTCCCTGTTAAAGGATAAATGAAATTCACAGACTTTCACACGGATGAAGTTACAGACCTTTTCAAAAACACTCAGGCAAAATCTGCACAAGCTCAGTGACGGTTAATGGTCCAGCAGGCTCTCCAAAGGAGCATGCCAGAATTCTCTCCCGCACAAGACAGAGCGGAGAGTGGGGCTGCAGTGCTGAGATCTGTAGGAAAACAACCAGCTGAGTCATCCTTTATACGTGAGGGCTACAGCTAAAGAAAATTCATGTTTCCTTTCTTCTTTCAGGTCCCAATTCCCACGTCAAGTCCTGTTGTGCTCAGTGCAGGATCTGAGAGTCAAAGTCAGTAAGTCACCCTTTTGCTTGACTTTATTTTCAGGCCACTGTGAAGGGGTGTAATTAAGAGCAAGGAGTTTTGGATACAGTTCAGACCAGCTTTTGCTAAAACTTACAATAATGGTGAACAGCCTCACTAGAAATAACATCATGAGTATTTTATAAGTGTTACTAAATGCCAAAGTATGTGAACTTTAGCCTCACTTGAAGTTTGAACTGAGATTCTCTCCCAGGCTGCTACATACAGCTAAAACCAAGGGATGGCATTTAGAAGGGAAGAGGCAATTTAGGACATTAAAATGTAAGGTTAGTTTTCAGACATTTCTATCTGGCCTCCTGTGCAATGCATCATTTGCACTTCCCATACTATAACAAAAAAAAGAATGTATATTGAGGTATTTAATAGGCAATCATATAGGAGAAAACACATACTCTGATACCAGACTGGCAGCTTTCTCAGTAGGTTCCACAGACATAGAATTGTTGGGGGGGATGAAAGAGAGCATTTTGCTTTCATGTTAAAGGTCATAAAATGCTCTGTTCAGCATCTCACTGGGAGTTTATTCTTCATCACCCTTTGTCCTTGAAACAATCATGCCCTGAAATAGCAACTGCTGAAGACCCAGCCTGATAAAATGGCAGCCAAGGAATTCCACACGGTATGGCCAGGTGGCGACCAAAGCGAGACCCAGACACTATCAGCTAGAGTTTGAACAGGACACGGATTGACAACTCAGAAAGTTTAGAGACGCAAAAGACGCTGAGATTACATTGTTCATTTATCCCATCAGAGAGATCAGTTCTGAATTTGGCTGCCAAACATTGCCTTCTCAGGCAATAGCCATGTTGATGTGCTTGCCATGATTTCTCCCACTCATGCAGACAAGAGCACAGTCCTACAAGACAATGACTTGTGCTTTCCCTGATGCTAATCAGCAGAAATGCCCTGACTACCACTAACCCTTATTTTTCACATACAGGAAATTCATGTTACATATTCTTACAACTGTCTGTGTACCTGTGCAGGACTTTTCCATTACAGTCGAGCATTTCTTGTGAGAAGTGCTCAGACAAGAAGCAAATAAAGTTGCATAATGTTGTTTTTGGTGTTTAGTAACTGAGAAGAACTGTTACCACAATCTGTATGTACCGCATGCTTTCAGATTCAGATGAGTTGCTTTTGTGTGCCCTTATCCTTCACACAATCAAAGAAGGGGCAATACAGTGTAACTAGGCCACACGTTAATTCCCAAAACCCAGATCTCAAGTCTGAGTATTTCTGAACCTATCTAGAATTTAAATGCAAAACTGAATTGTAGCAATAGTTCCTAACTTGCTAACAGGCCACAGTTAAATCTCAGATCTGAACAACATAAAACCTTATTAAATCTAAGTATGCTTTATCCACCCTGGGCCTACAGAGTTAGCACAGTATGATTCACTATATTTCTGAGTGAGACTTTACAAGATTTGCTCACATGTGGCACAGGAGACCACACTTCATCCCAGACCTACCCAAAAACAGGAACAATGGGAGGGCTAAAGGACTTCTATGCTCAAGTAGACCTGCTTCCCGCTGCCGTCTTCCTGGAGCTTGAGGAGGGTGGGATCTGAGGATAGCCACAAGCTGCCGCCTGCGTAATCGGGAAGTGGAGCACAAATCTGCACTGCATGGAAGCCTGCAGGAGCAGAGGCAGCTGTTGAGTCAGCTAAAATGTTTCCTGGGGACTAGGCTCACTGTCCTGCCCCAGTAAACTAAAGCCAGAATACAGTCCTATATCTTAAGAGACTCACTGGTAAACAAAGAGGAATTCAATTTCTGTTGGACCTTATTGAGTTAAAGCAATCCCAAATGACTTGAAATTTTTCAAACATTGTTTTTTCCTCCTTAATTTTCAGATAGCTTATTCGGATAACGAGATTAGAAAGATGATGTGATATTTCAAGTGAGGTGAATCAGTAAACAGAACATACTAAGAGCTGCTGTTGTCTTCTGCATTAGAGATATTTGGCTCACTCCTGCAAACTGTGCAGAGGCAAGTAGATATGCAAATATGTATATTCAAAATTGGTGTGTGCATCACCACGCGTGTATTCATGACCATGGTAATCATGTATTCAAGAGACCAGCTAGATTTTGAGTCGGCTCATTGCATAAGAAATCTCAGATAACAGCACAGGAAATGTGCCTTTTTCTATATGCAGTTATGGGCATGCAATTTCAAAGTCTATGTCTGTATGACCTGTGAGTGTGTGGATGTTTGACTGTCTTGTAAGACTCATTATATCTCTGCCATCTGTATCCATATTTACTTTACCTGCAAGTTTACTGTTTGAATTGCAGGGCTATTTAGGATTTTCTGAAGGTGCAAGGTAAGCATCACTGCTGCAATCATTTTTCCAGCATGCAAAATCTTCCATCTGCAATGGCAAACACAGTGGCTTACAGATTGAGGGCACCAAAATTTATGTTGTTTGCAAAACCCATTAATTATTTCACAGTCTTTTCTTTGAATATTTTCCATGAAGCCTAGGGATATTTGTGTTTCTTATATCCCTATGTCCATACATCACAAAAGATTTTTAAAAAATGCCCACAGTTTGGTTACATTTCACTTTAGTCCTGAAATGCACAGAGCTCATGTTTAGATTTTTTCAAGAAAAGAGAAAGCAAATGTCAAAAACAAAGGTAATACCTGAAAGGAAATAAAACAAATAATTAAAAATAGTTGTTTAAAAAGTTACAAAATATGACAGCATTAATGGCACTTAAAGCTATAAGCACTTAAAAGATTACCACCATATTTTTCTCAACTTCTTCTCCTAAATTTCTTTTTTTGTTTTTGAGACAATGACTGCAGCTCATGTTTAAACCCAAACCCAGCAAAAGGGGCATAGAGCCCTGAGATTCTATGGTTGCCCTGGCCCTCATTTGAACAGTCCATATGTTCTTATGTCTATTTTTAAAAATTTAGATTCAGCTACAGAGAACAGCAGTTTGCTGACATGCAAAAGCTATAGCTTTTCTTCTGTCTTCATAGATTTACGGCATTAAAATTGAAGTTCTTTCAGTGGTAGAAAGTATGAATCAGAAATTCTTTTAAAAAACAGTTGGCCAACTGTTTTATACACCTAGCCAAATATCATTAAATTAACGTTTCTCTTCTTTTAAACAACACAGCACGAAATGTTGCATTTTCTTCATATGCACTTTCTTGCAGTGAGTTTACACTGATTATTTCCTACAAGAGAAAAAAAATCCATTTGTTTCTTTTTTTTAAATTTTTTAACTGGTTATGATAAATACCCACAGAGTTGCTTTATTTTTTAATGAAAAGAGCAATCAGACCCTTAAATATGTCTGTGCTGATTTTTCAAACCAGCGTCTAGCTGGCAACTGTGTTCATGGATATTTTTTTGGAGTTTAGAAAGATAATGCATCTGATTCAAAAATGAAAAGAAAAAATCGAGCTTGGATCACGTGCCAAAACTTAAACTAAGCCTTACTGAAAGCTTATAGTTAGTTCCAATCATTTCTCCTCTTTTTAATCACCAGGGGAAGGCTTAATGTGTATATTCCATTAAAAAGATACAATCTTTTTCATTCCTTTGAAAGGTTCTTCTTGCATAGCTGCCTTTTGTCTAATAGTATGCGATGGTAGCAGCACTCTGGTGGTATTGCCATAGTTCAGTTGCTTCCTTTGTGTTTTACCCTGGTAGTCTTATACAGGCTGAAATTTCCATGTGCGTAGCTTTCTGTTGCCATTCTGCAGTGCTAGTTCCTGATTTGTTTTGGCAGAGCAAGCTTGAGTCTTTATGGCACAGTGAAATATTCTTCGATGCTATATAATTCAGACTGAATAAGGAGTCTGTATAAGGCACGTGTCTCAATATATATATATGTATATAAAAACACTAGCATTGTTTATTCAAGTCAGGCATTTTTTACATTTAACTTCTGTCTTCAAGTAATGCTTTGTTTTCATGTTCCCTTTCTTTGGTTTCTGTGGGGATCATTCCATTCTCCAGGTCTGAGTGCTGCTGGATGCAGTTGGTTAGGACTGCAGTGCTGGAAGAGTTCTCAGAATTACACATCTTCTCTGTCTCTTCTTCTTTTTTTTCTTCATCCAAGGAGTAGTTTCGGAAGGTCTCATAAATTTTACGCACGTCCTCGGGGATGGTCTTTTTGAGGTCTTTGTTTTTCCTTTTGGTCATCTTGGCAGATGATCCAAATTTGTTAATGATGTTATCCTCAGATGCCCCCTGCCCGTGCTTGTTGAGTTGATCTGACCCTTTAAGGCGCAGGTTGTTAGGCCTGTTGTTGATGCTTTCCTGAGATGAGGCCTTGAAGCGTCCTGTTTCCAAGGCAGTAAAGACAGAGCGCTTCTCTGGAGAGAGCATGTCCAAGGAGTGGGCCCTCTGGTCCAGGCCCAGGCGCCTACGCTCCATGCTGCGGATGGTAGCTGCCCTCTGAAGTTTGTCGTGGATCTCCACGCTGAGCCGCCTCCGTGTTTCTCTGAACTCAGCTGTCACATTTGCTTTCCACTCAGCTGCATGGGCTTTTATTTCTCCAACCTTTACAACAACAACAAAAAGAAACAAATAGAAAAGCAAAAGAGGAAAATGAAGTGACATTCTACATAGTAGCACAAGCACTTTCTTGTCTGGCATAGATTTGGAGATGAGTGCAAACTCAGACACTTCAGCAGCACACTAATTATACTCAGGCCAGCTCAAACCACACTGACTAGTGATTAGCTAATGGCTCATGTAGCATATGGATGGCTTGGCTGCCTTTTTCACCTTTTGCCACCCCACACCTTTTATAGCTGTGCTTATTATAAGATGGCAAGTTTTTGTGCTAATCCCTCCCTGATTAAGAAAAGAATAAAATTCCTGATTTATAATCTCAGCAGTAGATAGTCGGGGGGTAAAAGTGATCTCATATAGTTATGCTAATAAGCTTCAGAACAGCACAACAACCAGTGTAGCCATACAGTAACCTGTTTTCACACAGTGCTCATGGCTGGAGCTCTTCAGTCCCATTGTAGGTTCTATACAGTGCCACAAAGCAATTAATGGCAGGAATATCTATCACATAATTTCAAATACTTCAAAAGGCTAGTGATCCATCCAGGCTGCAGTCTTTTCTCAGAAAGGGAGCAAATGTAGCTGTCTTTAATGGAAGTTTCTACTGCATAACTGTCCAAATACCACCTCCTCAAGCCAGCAACGAGCACACTGCTTCCCAAAGGAGGAGTTTTCAAAACACATCAGTATTCTGTGTGGGTGCCATGAACATGTCCTTAAATGTCTCACTATTCTGTTCTTTTTTACTCTTTTGCACCTGAGAAGAGAATAATGACTAAGAATAAAGCACTGACATGGCTGCTCTATAGAATAAATATTTCTTCTGAAAGGAGGAAAATAAAAGAAGATAAATTACCAAGCAATATCTCAGTCAACCCAGGTCTTTTCCAAAATTCAGCTAAGGGAGAGCAGATTCAGAGGTATGATCTCTGCGGCAGTTTACCAAGGTCAACGGCTTGCTCAGGCTGTTGTGGCCAGAATTCAGTTTCTGTAGCCAGTGGTTCACAAGGGAGTCATCTTTGGCCTGCTCATCTCAGGCCAGATGAGCAGGTTGCCACTTAGAACTGGATTAATTGCAAAAGCTAGCACCATATAGCCAGCATGAGTGTTCAAGTTCCCACCTTTGGGTGCCATAGCCAAGCATTGTAGCTGTCCTGCTGCTGAACAGCTTGACAGCCGAATCTCTCTATGAAGCCCTCTTTATTGATGAAGATACACAGTGGATGCACTCGGCCTCAGGTAACTCAACTGACTTCATAAATGATAAACAGCATTACCCCTCTGCCAGACATGGCTATGCCTGCTCTTTGGCTAACCCTGCCAGGTTAGCTCTACTTAGAATTCAGGAGGAGATTGCATTAAAATTTGAAATTATGTTAAACTCCTCTATAATAGGCTTCAGCTCAGGACCCATGACTTTCATTTTCCGCTCTGATTTTGAGTGAAATATTAGGAACACTGTCCTCAAATCATGGAGAGCATGTTCTGAGTGAATTTACGCATGTTTTCCCTGATGAGATAGCATCAGTTTCTTCAATTTTTTATAACGTTACTCAAAAAGGAGATTGACTTCAAGCCCTTATTCAGAAGTACATACCCTGACATAGAGAAAATTCAGTATCAAAGCCTGATTTAAAGGCAGATGCTTGTTTCATAACGGACAGAGCCAACTAGTGTCCAAGAGTAAAGGACATGCTACAGAATAAACAGAATTTGTAGGCTCTATGTAGGGCTTAGCAAGAGTTGCTGCATTAGGTAGGAGGTCAAACTGAATAACAGTAGTATTTTTTTTCTGATCTTAAAAAAGCACGCATCCCAATACTTAAAAGAGCAAACAGTTATCATTTTTATCACAATTTCGGTAAGTAGTTTCAGTGAAGGCTGGCTTCTTTTATTCCATAATTGCAATCCTACTGATGTGTTCTGTGCATGCAGTAGTACTGACGGAGGTGTAACAACATAGGGTTGTTTCAGTTGCTTTTTCTCCTCCCTTTGTGAAGAAGCTGAAGATCAGAGCTACGAGGATACCAAGGTAGTCAGTGGAGTGAACCAAAGGGAATATTTAGCATTGGTCAAACGGAAGAGCATCCTTCAATAGACAAGCAGGAAGCAGGAATTTAGAGCACTTAGAAAATGACAAACCACTAAGCAATTACTAGTCTTACCTCTTCTTTTGTCTTCTTAGACAGGACTCTTAACCAATCTCCAATCATACTCAGGACAGCAGCAAAATAGGCAAGGCCAACAAGGATCCAGAACCACACTAAGGGTTTATACCATTCCCGATAATGGATGTCAGCATTTCCTCCTGAAATAAGCATATACTTACGGTTAGAAGTCATGAGATGCCAAAATTATGACAGAATACCTGTGATTTTAAGAAATTCATGAAAATATTTATTTACTCTTGCCAACACCACTGAGGTTCTAATAAAAGATTAGAGGCTTTGCAGATGGCACGAATGCAATCTGTTCTTAAGTTAACACTCAGTAAAAATTATCTATTTTTCTGCTGCTTTATGACCTGTCAGAACACCCAGTAAACTTTTTTCTTTGTACTGCAGATGCTCCAAAACAAGTCTGAAATTCCTGCTTTGGTAGTACTTGTAACAGCATGAACACATTTCCAAGAAAAAAGTTTAATACAGATAGTCTTCCTTATTCTGAACTGCCTGCAGCCTGGTAGTTGAGACACTTTACAGTTCAACTCTCTCGGGTTATAGAGTTTCCAGATTTTTTGCTTTTAAATACAGCATTCAGAAACCTCTGTGGGGGGGACAGAGAAGTAACTTTGCTTTCCGAAATCACAGTATCTGACAGGAACCCACTCCTACCTCAGCTTTGATAATAAGAATATACTGCCTGCTTAGCTATCAGTTATAGGGATGCATTCCCTGATCAGTGGCTTGAGTAGGTATGGGTCAAACAAAGCTACAAATATCCTATATGATTTTTATGCAAGTCTTGGAAGGAGCTAGTTACACAGGTATGCAGGATATTTGGCAACTCCAGTGGACTATGAAGAGCCTAAAATAAGTTCAGTAACATCCAGGCTGTAACATACCACAGCAGAGAGGAGAATTTTCCAGAAGAAAGTAGCCACAACCCCACTTTTGAGACTCTCAGCCCTATCAGAGTGTGTTAGGTGGGTTAGAGGCAAAGAGGCTGCACTGCCCCTTATGCACAACCACATCCCTCAATGCAAAAACCACCCTTGGTGGTACGTGGGTAAATTTCTGCTCGAAGAGTAGGCCTATTTGGGGACTCAAGTAGAGGAATGCGTATTTCCTGAACTCCAGTCTGGGATAGACAAGAGCTAGACACCAACCTGTACCTGGTTATGGCCTGAAAGAGCTTTTAGGATTTTTTCCCCCCAATTAAAATCCCCGGGTGACACAGTTGAGAGTTTTCCCCTGAGCTTTTTGCAATCATCTGAGACATTCTTATGACTCTTTAAAATGAATTTTATCCCAACTGTGTATAAGTGTACTTACAGTGATTGAACACTCGCATGAAAGCTCAGGCATTCGAGTATTGGCAGGGACCCAAATACTGTTTTTGATGTTAATCTCTCCCCATACACGGTATGAATCATTCTCTTTTTCCGGTCTTCAAGAGTGTGAAACAATGGGAGGTGGGGCTGCTGTTGCTATGGCACAGTGAGGCTGTTGTGATCACACATGTCCCTGCAGAAGTTTGCTACAAAGCAGATTGCCTAGGTCTGTCTTATGGAGTAATCAGGCTACAGAGACGTTACGAGACCACTTTTTTCAGCCTATCAAATATTCTATTTTTTTTTCAGACTCCATCCACAACTGTATTTCCAACACTAGCATAAGAATGTTCCCAGTTTGGCAAGATATGGGCCATATTCTAGTTAAAACAAATCAGCATAGCTCCATTGATGCTGCTTTACTCAACATGATGTAGTATTAGCTCTCTGAAGTTGAAGGGCTAGAGATATGGAGAGATTAAAGTGATAGAAAATAAAAGTAACAGAAAATGTGTGTCAAAACCAGCAAGAAAACATATATCTCCTGGTGATCACTGGCCTGAAACTCTTAGTGTAAGAACCTTTGAACTTTTTTCATTTAAGATCTTCCATTTGATTTTTGAAAAATTCTGGTTTTAGTAGCCATCCAACTGTGGATTATATTCTCCTGATCATATTGGATGTAGAACACTTTAATTCATTTTCTATAATTATATTATTAAAGAAAATAATATTAAATTGTCATACGCGTAAGAAAAATATCGTGAACTATTTTTATTTCACACTATGCTATGATACCACAAAGCCAGAACACTAGTGAGCTTTTCTTCACTTTTAAGAGGTTAAAATAGGCCAAAGTCATACATTCAGTTCTGTATCTGAACGCTCATAAAACGTCACTTTTTCATATCTGGGGTTCTTTTTGTTCAGTGCCATTTTTTCTCAATAATTCATATCATATTTATCACAATGCTAATAAAAAGGAGGATGAGAGGCTTGCCTACAAGAAGACTTGTGTACAGCTCTTCAGTAAAGACAACTTCATATATCTTGTTGTTCCATTTGATTTTTTTAAAGTCATTCATATTTCACTAATGTTTTAGGAAAAAAAAAAGTGGCATAACGCAGCCACAGTACAGTAGTTGTAACACAGGCACCTTAATGCATTTATTATGACTACTAGTAGGAATGGGGAGTAGAGGTCGTGCACTAATGGGGAAAGAAATTTCACTTATTTTAACCACCTTTTCCTTACCAAAGATGCAGAGTGAAAAAAATCTTCCCTTTTCTCTAAGCAACAATTCCGACTCCCTCTTTGGTAATTGATTAGGATGGATATTTGCAGTACCTGTTAGTACTGTATTAATCTTAAAGAGTACTGTCATAGTGTTGAATTGCAACCCCATTCGTCTCTCCCCTCCCATATGTTTTCCTTAACAGGGCAGCTGCAGTGTCAAAATTTCTGCCCAGGAACAAAATCCAGCCTCTGAAATGCTGCAGCTCAGGCAAAAGAAGTTTTTTAGCAGCCAGCTACTGCATCAGACCAGACAGTTCTCCAGTCCTACAGCTCAGCCCTACTTCTGAAAAGCTTCACCCATTCATCATTTTGGCTGCTTGCTTCAGCAATCGGTCTCAGAATGAGACCTAATGGACTAATACAAGTCTTGAATTCAATAGGAAAGTCATTTGACTCGTGCATAATTCATTGCAGGATAAAGGATAATCAGGACTTCCAAGACTCCCATTATCTACGCTGCTGAAAGGCTGCACTCTGCAAGTGGCAAGCGGCACCTGGATCCTAAATTAGCCTGGAGTCCTGTGTGCTGTTGCACAGTAGCCTCAATACAAACATCTGGCATTGTTTTACTGGAATATATTTTGAAAAGCCTCATCTCTACACCTGAGAAGAAATTCTGAGAGCCAAGGCCTTCATGCACAGCACCTCGTCCCAAAGCTACTCACCTGCTACAAAATCACCAAAGCCAACGGTAGTCAGAGTGACAACCACAAAGTAGATGGACTCCAAGGCTGTCCATCCCTCGATGTGTTTGAAGATAACTGCAGGAATGGTCACAAAGACAATGCAGCCTGCCAGGATGAAGAGGATGGTAGAGATCACCCGGATCTTTGTTTGACTCACTTGTTTTTTCTAGAAAAAGGAAATAGCAAATGAAAGAAATACTTTGAGTGGATTATAGGAACTTTATCCTTGGTGAATGGCAGGCGAATCATGCTCGTGATATCTGAAGAGCTATTTCTGCTTCTACTTTTTGTAAGATTATTAAGTAGAATACTGCCCTCTCCATTACTGACAACCTCGCCCCAGGTAATAATGAACTTCTGGCCCCAAAGCAATGATGATTCCCAGTTTCCATTCACTAGGCAGAAACCTACCCAAAACACATCCTGGAACAGTTCTAAGTTTCAGAAAGGCTCCAGTATACAGCAGTTTGGCTCCAGCATATAAAATAAAGTGGACACTCATTCACACCTCCATACATATCTATACACCCATATTGCCTTGCCAGGCCCAAGCATCCATCCAGCAAGACAAGGCTAAAATGAAAATAAATTCAAAATTGTTTCTAGAAAACTGAGATTGCATTTACAAATAATCCATGCTTCTAGTTTTCCAGACTTTCCTTTTACTCAGGATTTCCAGCTATTACTCACAAATACAAAGGTTAAAACTCCCTTTCCAAAATAAATAGAGATAGCTATAGTATCAGTAGAAACAAAGGTTTTATGTCAAATACAAAATAACTTCAGATAAAATTACCTATGTAAACTCACAATAGAGAGCTCTTGAACTAAAAGTCCATGGGTGTTACTACCTGCTATAAGCTGAATACAGATATCAGCATTGTCACTGCAGTATTTCCACCGTAGGATGTTCTAGACCCTCACTTTATATGATGTGAACTTAGATTTTGTTTCTGGTAATATTGATTAACTCTGGATTAACTCTATTGACTCTGGCAGACATACGTCAGATTTTCATGCTGTAAATGAATTCAAAGTTCAGTGGAGTTTCACAGCAAACCTGGAAACTACTAGAAACCTTACTGAGGATTAATTACAGTGGCTGTGTAAATTCTGTACATTTATCCTGCAAAAGAAATGCAGAGGTCAATGCAGAAGTCACATATTTCCAAAGCAAGCATCTTCCTTAACCCAGAAATAAGAACTTATTTCAGATTAGGACATTTCCTAGGTATAAGTTAATGTTTCAGAAGTCATCTTTATAATATGCAGAAGGTATACTGCCTGAACCAGTTAAAAATCTAACCAGCTGGTGCGTACTACTGCAGCCCACTAAAGCAGGAGCATTTTGGGGGGAGGTGAAAGGTCAAACACTCATTAGGGACTTATCTACCCTGCGATGCTCTGCATGTAGAATCCAGGTAGTAGCATAAACATACCATATTTTAGAAGTAGTTTTATTTCTGAAACTATTTGAGACGTACCCTACACTTACTTTTTTTTCTTTTTGTTTGTGTGCATTGTTTTCTATGTCTGGCTAAACAAAAACAGTTAAATGGGATTAGAAATCTAATACTGTAAGCGACACTAATCAAATATAGGGCATGGAAAAAAATCACTGCTGAAGTACCAAGGAGATAAACACAAGAATACTGAAACCGACTACTTCTTATTCCCTCTTTTCCTGCGGAATCATTTTGAGCAGCTTTCTAAAATACTACAGGATGATCTAGCTTAAGAGTTACTTTTAAAGACACACATTCAAAATGGCAAGATTTCAGGCTTACTCTATGTGTAGTGGAGGGAAAGCAACTGTTCACCTGGATGCTATGTGGTATCTTAGATTGGCACACTTGCTTTTTGCCATGGAAGACCAGGATTTAACCAGATTGTTGTTTATTTACTAGTTTGGCCACGGTAACTTCATCACTTCTGCTAAAAGCTTCAGTTTTCCCGTGTTGTAAAAATGAAATGACAGACACCTACCTACAGTGGAAATTATGAGGCATATACACTGCTATAACATAGTGCTGGGAATCCTTGGACAAAAAGTGCTTTGGAGCTGCCAAGCGCTACTAGTGTAGCAAAGTTATGCATAATAATCCTTTTTCCAGTCCCCATATAGCAACATTAACATGCATTTCAATATGAGTCACGATAGTCTTGCCTCATGATAGAAGCAAGAGTGGAAGGAATAGTATACAAATCAGTACCAAATGTTCAGGACATTCACTTGTTTATGAGTGATAAATTCAGTCAAAGATTTTTTTTTTAAGTAAAAAATGGTAACAATTTTGTACCTCAGTTACTCTCACAAAAGCAGAGCAGCTAATGTTTTTTTTTTTATTCTTCCGCTGGTACAAATTATTACAGAAGTCAGAAGGCAATGGTGGATCAGGCCAAGCATTTTTAGGGCAACTGAAAAGTGTGCAAAAGCAAGATATCAAAGCAGAATTACTAACTGACAAAGACAGGTGAAATTCAGGATACAAGTGAAAAGGGTTTTTATAGGTGAAATGGTTTACAGTGAAAAGGTTTTTATATTGTGAACTAGACATTCATTTCGAAGACATTCACAATAATAAATGTTAGTAGGATATGCTATAACCTAAATGTCTTTATTTATGGAATATGTACATTACAGTAACTACATTAAAAAAAAAGATGTTTTGCATTTTTTCTTGTTTATGGAGTTGTCATTGCTATTTCACTGCAGAGAACATCATTATGAGCTGCCCACATTTTCGGGAATAATGGAATGCAGTGTTTACATTCCAGTTTTGGAACAACTGCATCAAATTACACCAGACTAGCCTATGCCACTGCAGCGCTACACTGTACCAAGTCATTGTTAAAATAATATGGAAATATGTGTATACGTATATATTCATGAAAGGCTGAGAAATCTGAAAAGGTTCATATTTCTGAGCTTTGCCTTATGAAGTCTGAAAAATTAGGCTGGGAATTTCACATGAAGACAGAAAAATCATAGGTTCCCCAAAAGAACCTTATTTTTCTAAGGATAGTATTTTCATAGGAACAGCCATCTTATCACCTTTGATACTTCTGCTCTCCCTTTGCAAGACTGACACCCTACCTGACTCTTTGTATTCTTGGCTAACAGCTATCCGATTTTAACAGGAGGGAAAAGAGCAGTCGCACACAGCTTGGCCTAATATCTGTTAGATCAGGGCACTCCTCAGATACGTATGCTCTGATTACTCAAGGCTAGGCAAAGCCCAGGTCTCCCATGTTCTCTAACAACTAAGCTGTTATACAAAAGATGGTGACCTCCTGCAGACCAGGGTTAAATCAGGTATCTGTTCTGCGCAGCCTAAGCAAAAAGGGGTCAATCCCTTACTATTGGTTTCTTAATTCCAGTTTCTCAGAAGAACCTACCTAAATTCTTGAAGTAGGTATTTAATTCTAGGTACAAAATTGCACGACACTTTCCTTGAAGACTGTATTTAGTTTCTCCAGATTCAATGTGCAGGCTATTCTGGACCACAGCTTCAGGCACCTGCCTCTCCCCATGTACTATACAGGGAAATTTGGCCTTTATGTGATTTTTGTGAATCTCACTCACAGAGCTAATCAGTTCAATTTTCAGCCTCATGATACTGAGCATCACATTGTTGCTTTTAAAATTCAATCCTTATTGTATGAGAAATGTGTAGACTATCAACCCTTTGAAGCAGGAACCATGCTTTTGTTCTTCATTAAGACTATGCTTACCTCAACTTAAGAAATAAAACTTGCCTTTTAGAAACAGTAATGATATCAGTAAGTTAGACACGCCATAAATAATATTATTTAGTCTTTCCCTTCATGGTGTCAGTTTATTATCACAAGATCTAGAAGGAATTGCCTCCTCCTACCTGGCCTTGCGTTACTGTCCAGGTCTCTGTATTAGTAATCCAAATAGACTCATCAACTATTGCAGTTCATTTCAGGGTAATAGGTCTGTCTGTTAAAGAAATTTGATGATATATCCTGTATCCCCACACTATGCAAAACTCAAACAACCTGGTGGAAACTGCTCTCCAGCAACATATTGGCTTTACCCAGCAGACAAGAATAGCATCGAGGATCCCAAACAGCGAAGAGTTTTTTTTTTAACAGTATTTTCAGTCTGGAGCTAAACAGTGAAAGGCAAATAGCTGAGCAATTGCAGAGGTTGTTCCGTGTGGTTTAAGTAAAATGAAAACACATTTAAAAGGGATGTTTTCTACTTCTTTTTTTAGTTTTGTTTTACCAACAAGTACTGCACTCCACATTTATGAAGCAGATAATTTTTGAGACGTTCATGAAATACAAATTAGCACCTGCTAATGAGAAAGGCTTCAATTTAAATCCAACTGGAGCTAATCTGAAAAAGATTGAAGGAGGACTCTAACAAGTAAAGAACGGAGAGCTTTCCATGATCTAAGAACCTATGAGGGTTTCCAGGTCATCTCCATTTACTAATGAAGGTGGTGATTTTACTGTTAATGTGGTTTAGGTAACATTACTGCATATGAGATCATCTTGTTAATTGAAACAACCTATTGTCAGCCTTCTCTACTAATGTCAGGAGTGGTGAACACAGCCATTCTCATGGAGAGATCCTTATCAATGGAATTTGTTTCCTATGCATCTTTACCATCAGTGACTGTGACCTTGCTTTTTGCTTGTTTTCTATCATGTCCACTCAGATCTTATCTGGTTTTGGTCTTATCTGGTAACTTCAGGAGCTAAAAAAAATCCCTTTACCTTCTTTTTTTTCTCTCTCTCCTCCTACAGATCACAAGCTGATGAACTGGCTCCTTTTACGGCTCTTGACCTATCAGAAGAATTAACTTAGTTACGATTTTTCTGATTTAACTGTTGAAAATAAAAAGACCAAATACAGTTCTTAAGCCCCCAGGCTACGGCCACAGGGATGACGCTTAGAAGTAATTTGTATTCCTTTGAAAAAGGGAGAAAACTTTTTCCAAGTAAAGACATCAAGCATGGAAACAAAAGATGCTACATTTACAGTCACTTTTCAGACTAAACTAATTGTTATATATATGGCAGAGCGTATGCTCATTCCAAGATTTTGTAGTGTCACCTTTCGTTTCACTGCAATTCCCTCAATCTACAGTACTGCTCAACCGAAAATAGCACTGGAACATTTGTTGCCTC